ATGACCCCAAGATCAACAAGAGTCACGTGCTCTTCTGACTGAGCCAGCCAGGCATTCTTGACTATTAACTTTTGAGTGTGCCCATACAGTAGTTCCTGAATTAGCATGTCTGGCTATTTATGAAGAACCTGTGTCTAGTCTCGGTTCCATTTGCCTTTTGGAATCAATTTGAGTTTCTCATAGTCTCTGAAATAAGAATCAAAGTCTCTGAGGTAGTTGGTGCTAGAGTGTATAACTGTGCAGAGCAGTAGGCATCTCTCAACTTTATTAACTCATGCTTGCCAGAATATGGATACCAGGACTTGAACTGTGTTCTTGGGAATTGTTTTATCATTTGCTGGGAATGATATTAAATGCTAGAGACCTAAAAAAACACAAAAACACAGGGCTCCTGCCCTCCTGGAGTTAGAATCTAGAGTAGAGAAGCTTATTATACAGATAACTAGTCAGTTATAATTGTGATATGTGCTACAAAGAAAAAGTGGTTAGTCATGATTTATATTTTCCATTGTTCAAATATTTATTAAATGCTTGTTAAGGCTCAGATTAATTAAGATTAACTCAGATTAACTACAAGGGCTATAATGGTGAGCAAAATACCAAATACTCCGTAATATAGGTTTTGAAGGGGATAGATTAATATCCAGTTAATCCAACAATCGTAAAAAAAATGTGCTGAATGCTTTGAAGGAAAGGTATAGGCCCCCCTCTTTTTTTTTTCAAATTGAGGGTTGTTTTTTTTTTAAGATATGATTTATTTATTCATGAGAGACACAGAAAGAGAGGCAGAGACATAGGCAGAGGGAGAAGCAGTCTCCCCGCAAGGAGCCCAACACAGGACTTGATCCTGGATCCTGGGATCATGCCCTGAGCCAAAGGCAGATGCTCAACCACTCAAATTGAGTTCTACAATGCATTTAGATGAAATAGAAAATAACTATATATCATATAGTAAGGGTAAGAATTGTTACTCAGTTTACAAATGTCTATGCTAGGTTACAAAGTCAAATGTATTTCATACTATGAGTCACAATGAAAAAAAATGTCTTAAAAGCCAACTTGCTGGGTAGATCTATCCAAGTTTGGGGTGGATCAGGAAAAGCTTTTTTGAGGAAATGATGTTTCAGCTGAGCTGTGAAGAATGAACAGCTATTAACTAGTGCAGAAGAGACAAGGAAAAAGAAGGTAGCTAGAATTTGGGATAGCATATACAAAGGCCCTGTGTTGGGTCAAGAGACCAAGGTAATTGAAGACTAGCATGGCTAGAGTTAAGACAGGAGAGGAGAGAATAGGGGCCAGACAGGGCAAGGCTTTGGAAGCCCTAGTGAGGAGTTTGATTTTTATTCTGAGAGCAGCTGGGAATCATTGGAGGCTTTTAAGCAGGGGCACTGCCTTGGTTTCCTGTTTTGAAATGATCACTTTTGTTGCAATGTGTGAAACAGAATTGTAATATTGGGGTATCAGAGGATATGTGGACACCAGCCGTCCAAGTGAGAGATAATGGGGGCTTGGACTCCCGTGTTAGCAGTGAAGGGAGCTTGAAATGACTGTATTCCAGAGATTTAAGAGAGAAAACGAGGCAGGGATTTGAGATGGGTGATGGTGAAGAAGAAAGTGTCAGGCAGGAGTCCTCAGTTTTGTATACCTTAGACATTCCTTGAAACAAGGAATCCAGGGGGAGGAGGAACAGTTTTGGGGAGGGGAAAATCAGTAGTTCACTTGGGATATGTAGACTCTGAGACACTCTTGAGACATCTCGAAGGAGATGCCTTGTAGGCAGTTGTGTTTATGAGTTTAATCTCAGAGAAGAACTGGAGAATTCAATGTGTGAGTCATTGGCACATAGATTATTGATGCTGTGGACAAGGATGAAGTCATTTAGAGACTAGTGAAGCTTTTTAAAAAATAATACTAATGTCAGTGCCTGGGCTCCACGTAGACCAGTTACCACAACCTTGCCTCTTGCCCTGCCTCTCACCTAGGCTCTGATGCAGCCAAACCGCCATAGACCCACCAAGAAGTCCTGGATAATGCAGCCTGTGGAAGCAGGCACAGACTGGCTTTGCCAGTATCCCCACTCCGATACCCTCAGCCCAAGCCTTCAGACTCCTTCAGAGCTTTCTTAACTGCCTACTGAGTGGAGTTGGCATTCAGTATTCAGGGCTCTCCCCAACTCCACCCCAGTCTACCCCTTGTCTTACTGCAGGCTACTTCCCAGCATAATCTACTTGGGTCATGCCGCTTCTCTCTCCCTCACTCTGCCCTGTCTCTGCTCCCTGGCTCAACCTGGAGTTACACACTCTGCCTTTTTCCTGCTCACAGGCCATTTGTTCCCTTACCCTCAGGGTCCAGGTGAGGGTCCCATCCTTCCTGAAGCTTCCCCAACCCCCCTAAGGACTAGAATACTTTCTTTCCTTTGAAGAATTTCAGCACTTGATGATCTGTACTTCTCATTTTCTGTATAGCAGAGGTAATTGTCATTTTAGAGTATGTTCGAATTAGATCATGTCTTGCACTGTAGCTCTTGTTATTCTAAAGAGAGGTGTTTCCAGAATCCTCACTCTTAAATTACTCCAGAAACAAGTGTAGAGCTGAGTAAAGAGTATCTATTAGGTTATGGATGCTAGGTCAGAGGTGAGGGAGGAGGACGATGTCCCTGTACCTGCTCAGCTGACAAGCAGTTCACATGTGAGTCTCAAACTGCGGCCCTTCCCCATAGCTGAGAATTCTAATGATAGCTGAAAATGTGAATGAGAAATCTGAAAATGCCAAAACTTATGAACTTTCCTATGTCCCCTGCAACTTCCTATGCCTCAGAGGCCCCTTTTTGGAACAGGCTGATGGGACAGATAACTTACTGATCACACTAGGACTTGTCTGATCCTGTAGCATAAAGAGTAACTCCCAGTATGCTGGGAAGCTGTCTCTTGGCATGGGGTGGAGAAGCCTTTTGAGTCTTACATACAGTAAGACCCAGACAAGAGTGGGCAGACAGTGGAGATGAGGGAATTAAAGGATTTGCCATCTGGCCTCATTTGACCTCTCTGCTCTCAGATTACTTACTCTGCCTCTTCTCATGATGTTATCCTGTGGGCATGGGGATGACCCCAGTGACCCCTCGGGGCTTTGCAACATCCCAGTAGGGATGACGTTGTATTAACCCAGAGATGCTCCCGAATGCAGGCTCCCTGATAAACCCTGATTGTTTGCAGAATGCTAGACTGTGGTCAGAATCTTTATTTAATCTGGTTTAAAATACATTAACAAATGAAATCCCTGGTTGTTGTGGCTATTATTAAACTAACAGATACATACTTAGATCTTAGCCAAAAGGCTCAGAAGCTATGTGTGAATTAATTTTTAATTCTTAGATTTCAGCTTTAGTAGTAGATGCTGTTGACTAATACTAATTGACTCTCACCAACAGTGCAGGAGCGTTCCAAATGTTCCACATCCTCATCAACATGATATCGTCAGGCTTTTTAAAATTTTAACCATTTGTGTGTGTCTGTTGGAATCTCATTGTTTTGTTTTGCATTTTCCCGGTGGCTAATGAGGTTAAACAACTTTGAGGTTTATTTGGATATCCTTTTTCATGAAGTGCCTGTTAACGTCTCTTGCCTGTTTTTGTACTAGGTCTTTTTCTTATTGCTTTGTAGTTCTTTGTATATATTGGGTATGGATCCTTTGTCAGATATATATGCTGCAAATATTTTCTCCCACTCTGGTTTGTGTTTTTCGTTGTTTGTATGTTTGTTTTTTTGTTTTTTTTTAATTTATTTATTTATGATAGAGAGAGAGAGAGAGAGAGAGAGGCAGAGACACAGGCAGAGGGAGAAGCAGGCTCCATGCACCGGGAGCCTGACGTGGGATTCGATCCCTGGTCTCCAGGATCAGCCCTGAGCCAAAGGCAGGCGCTAAACCGCTGCGCCACCCAGGGATCCCCTCTAACGACATTTTTAAAAGACATTTACATAGCTTGTTGTTTGTATATAGAAATATAGTTGATTCTCATATATTGACCTTGTAGCCAATGACCTTGTTAAATCCACTTACTGAGAGTTTTATTCATAGATTCTTTTGGATTTTCTACGTATAATTATGTCATCTACAAGTAATGATAGTTTTATTTCTTTCCAATCCTTATTCTTTTATATTTTTCCCTCTCTTTTTGCATAGGCTAGTATCTCCTGTGCAATGTTGAACAGAAGAGCTGATAGGGATATCCTTGTCTCAGTTCCAATCTTAGAGATATCTTTCAGTATTTCACTATTAAGTGGGATGTTTGCTTTAGATATTTTAGTGATATTCTTGTTTAAGTTAAGGGAATTCCTTTCTCTTCCTAAGCTGCTAAATGGGCTTGTTTTTTCATAAAATCATGAATGGGTATTGATTTTCTGAAGTGCTTTTTCTGCATCTACAAAATAGATCATATAATTTTTCATTTTTATTCTACTGACATTTATCTTTATTCCTACTGATTGATTTCGGAATGTTAAGCCAGTCTCTCATGAAATAAACTCAACCTCAACCCTCAACCTAGCAGTATTGTATTTTTCTATCCATAATTATTTTTGGTGAGATTTTTGCAGCTATGTTCATAAGAGATTGGCATTTAATTTTGTCAGATTTGGTATCAAGGTGGTGAAATCAAAATGAGTCAGGAAGTATTTCTTTCTGGAAGAGTTTGTGTCAATTTGATATTTTTCCCCCTTATGTGTTCGAATGAAAACTCTTGATGACACACTTTAGAACTAGTGTTGTAGGCCACATTTTGGGAAACAGTGGTCTAGAACAAAACTTAAAACGTGAAGTAATCAATTCCTGTCAGTTTGAATGCTGTCATTTTTATTTCCTCCCTATGCAGCACCAGCCACTTTACCTTTTCTTTCCTGGCTGTGTGGGGCTCAGCTAAAGTCAGCACACAGGAGAGTGGTGAGGCCATTTGAGACCAGCCTGGTCCTCAGGATTACGCTCTCCCTGCCACCAGGCGGCCTGCCCCAGCCCTGCTCAGCCACATCCACACTCCTCTGATAGAATGAATGCCCTCGATGGCATCTCCTTCAAGGTGCCCAATGGCTTTGTGACAGGCACAGAGCCCCTTCCTGGGCTAGAGCTCAGCATCCCAGCTTGCAGGGAGCTTCTGCTGGGCTCTATGGTAAGTATATCTCTCTGTCCATCTATTTCTTGTTCCTGCGTCTGTAGATGTGATGCTGAGACTCATGGGCCTTGTTCCTTGATTTTAAAAGGCAGCCAGGCCAGAGCGCCTGGGGTAACTCAGTTGGTTAAGCAACTGACTCTTGACCTCAGCTCAGGTCTTGATCTCAGGGCTATGAGTTCAAGCCCCTTGTTGCACTCCACACCCAGTGTGGAGCCTACATACATACATGCGTACATACATATATAAATGGCCAACAAGTCCATTGCTGGTATATTCTAGAAAGTTAGACATGACCCAAGGGGAAAAGTTGTTTCATGAAGAAGGCTGGTGGCCTCGTGATTGGGATTATTTAGTAGGTCTTATTTTAAGCTGAGAATAACCAGAAGCTGCCTATAGGAAGTGACTGAGAGACTTTGCAGGGATACTCCAATTCCTCTCTTCCCTGTCAGTCTGCTGCCATGTCTAAAATTCTACCATTTAGAATCATTCTTGGCAACTAAGACACTATCTTCAGAATTCTCTGTTAAAATGCAGACTGTTACATGGGAACCATTAGAAGGGATTACTGTTCCATTGACCCAAAGCACATCTGCCCTGGAGGCACCCTGGAAACGCCCCATGCCCCACAGCTCACACACTGGGATATGCACCCAGTGTCTGCGCTGGTACCACATACCTTCAAGATACACATAATTATTTAACTTCTGGGAGAGTCCAGCTTACCTGAAGGTTTTAGGGGAACCTATTGCATTAGTATTCTAACAGATATTTCATGAGATAGAATGCAAAATTCACATGGATTATTTATTTATTTTAAAGATTTTATTTTATTTTATTCATGAGAGACACACAGAGAGAGGCAGAGACATAGGCAGAGGGAGAAGCAGGCTCCATGCAAGGAGCCTGATGTGGGACTTGATCCTAGGACCCAGGATCATGCCCTGAGCCAAAGGCAGACGCTCAACTGCTGAGCCATCCAGGCATCTCATTCACATGGATTTTTAAAAATGAAAGAACAGAATTGCAAAAAAAACTATGGAACTGGTGCCGGGCCACTCAGACTCTTATGTGGTCATTCTCTACAGTCTTCAGGGTACTTTGTAAAAAAAATTCTGGGAGGATCTAGGGTGGCCCTCACTCATTTTGCACATGAGAAACCTGAAGTCCAGAAAAGGGAAATGATTCATTCATAGTTAGGGATCATGGCAAGACTAAAACCCAGGCCTTAACTCCAAATTGTTTTGTATTAGCTGAGAGCAGGTTTGGAACATGAGACATTGTGCAGGTAATACTCCAAGGCAGAAAAGCAGGTTGCAGGAAGTGAGGTGCCCAAAGTACAATCCATGAAGGAAGGAGCTTGGGTGACTTGGGAGCACATAAGCAGGAGACTCAGTGCAGTTTTGTTTTATCTGTAGAACTTTGGACCAAGATCTCCAGAAGGGAAATATGCTTTGTAAAACCTGGAGCATGGTGTTTGGGGGCCCATCCTCTTTGAGGCAGGAGCTCTCACTTTTCCCAGGCAGCCTGCGTTGTGGGCTCTTGCCCTGGCAGTATAACTTGTGTCATGGGAAGAGGAATTCATTTTACTAAACTCAAATGGAGATGGATTATCACAGCTTTTCCCTCCCTGCTGAGCTCAGCCCAAGCTGGGAAGAAGCTATCCTGAAAGTTACTTCTCTTAGAAGCAGAATTTGGGCACCTTACTGCCAAGTCTACATCTGGTATCCTAGCCCAGGTGCTGACCCCAGCTCTGCCCCCTACCCAGCGAGGGTATCTGTACTCTCTTGAGCCTATTTCCATTCTTGGGCTCCCGTTTCTTTTACTGCTGGGCCAATCTAACAAACAGAGAAGCATGGGATTTCAAGTATGATTTACAGCCTCTCCTAGTAAGTCCTCTGGAGTTCATCAGGCTGTATCCCCAGTGTTGGAACTTGGAATACATTTTCCCATAACAACAATGTTATAGGTAGTGGTTAGATTGCCAGGCAAACCTATAGTTCTCTAAAGGGAAAAAGTAATAATCAGAGCTACCATTATTGAGCACCTGCTGTGCACTAGGCCTGTGCTTAGGTGCTTTTTGTACATTCATTCTTCTCTCTCATATTTATGATAACCCTTTTAGCAGGTATGTGTCCCTACCCCATGGCACGGGAAACCAAAGCTCCTACCCAACTGATGTACTTGTGATTAACACAGCCAGGATTCCAACACATGTCTGTCAGACTCCAAAGCCCGTGTCCACCCCATCCACCCTACTGCCTTCACCTTTTCTTCTGTACTTAAAGCTTTGGCAAGTCTGTGTTGTTTCATCATTTTCCTTTATTTTTTAGATTTTATTTATTTATTCATGAGAGGCACACACAGAGAGACAGAGAGAGGCAGAGACACGTGCAGAGGGAGAAGCAGGCTCCACGCAGGGAGCCTGATGTGGGACTCCATCCCGGGTCTCCAGGATCACACCCTGGGCTGAAGGCAGCGTTAAACCGCTGAGCCACTGGGGCTGCCCATAGTTTTCCTTTAATTAGCGTTAATTGCACTAACAAAAAATATTTTTAGAGAAAAAATACATTCACAGTATTTAAAAATGAAAAAAACAAAACCCACCGGGGCTGCCCATAGTTTTCCTTTAATTAGCGTTAATTGCCCTAACAAAAAATATTTTTAGAGAAAAAATACATTCACAGTATTTAAAAATGAAAAAAACAAAACCCACCATGAAATCATATACAGCAGGGTTTGATAAACATTTTCTGTAAAAGGCCAGATAGTAAAAACTGGTGATTACTCAACTCTGTTGCTGTAGGGAAAAAGCAGCCATAGTTCTGGAAAGAAGTGAGTAGGTAGTTTTGTGTTCCAATAACACTTTATCTACAAAGGCAAGGGGATTGGGCAGTGTGGCCCAAGGGCAGCTTGAAGGCTTTGGGAGAGTGAACAGCCTCCTCCTGACACCTTCCTATCTACCCAGTTCCTCAGCTCCACCCCCGCACTGAAGATATGTTTCTCATATTCTGTGTATACTTCCAGGGGGATTCTTATGTGTATACAGACATGCAAGTACAGCCATTTCTTCCTTTTTTACACCAAAGGTAGCATTTTATATACACTGTTTTTCTTAACTTTTTTACCTAATATATTTTAAAATCTTTCCATATGGGTACATAGAAAGCTTCTTTGGTTTTATTTTTCATTGTGTAGCATTTATGGCATTACATGGATATATTATACTTTATTGAATGAGTGCCCTCTTGATGGACACTTGGGTCCTTCCCAGTTTTTTGCCATGACAAACAAAGGTGAAGTTGAGCAACTATTTGTGTGTTTGTTTTTTATTTTAGATTTTTTTAAAATTTATTTACTCATGAGAGACACACAGAGAGAGGCAGAGACATAGGCAGAGGGAGAAGCAGGCTCCCTGTGGGGAGCCTGATACAGGACTTGATCCCAGGACCTTGGGATCACAACCTGAGATGAAGGCAGACACTCAAGCCACCCAGGTGCCCCTCTTCACCCATCCATTTATTCTGCACATACTTACAAATGTCCCCTCTGGGCCAGGCCTGCCTGGGCCTTTAGGATGCAGAAGGGACTAAGACACAGCTCAGTCAAGGAGACAGCCTGGAACCGCCAAGTTATGTTCCTCTCCCCAACTGAGGATTGTGTCAGGACAGGAGGGAACAGTGTCTGTGATCTAAGTGTCTAAGTATCTGTCTTTCTGCCTCTCCTGCCCCTCACAAATACTACTTCCCTCATCCTCACTCTTCATTCATTGGCCATTACCAAGCACAGAGATTGCCTTTTTTTTTAATTTTACATTTTTTAATGGAGTTTTGTATTTCTGGTTCTTATTTTTAAAGGTAGGCAACAGGAATACTTTATTTCTGACTCATTTATAAATTTTCAAATTAGATTATTTTTTAAAAGATTTTATTTATTTACTTGACACAGAGAGAGAGCACAAAAAGCAGGGGGAGCGGCAGACAGAGAGAGAGGGAGAAGCAGGCTCCTGGATGAGCAGAGAGCCTAATGAGTGGCTCCATCCCAGGACCCTGAGATCATGACCTGAGCCAAAGGCAGATGCTCAAACACTGAGCCACCCAGGCGCCCCTAAAGTTAGATTATTTATGTGAGCTCCAGACTGCCTTTTTTTAGGTGGTCTGACACACAGTAAAGAAAGCACTGTCACAGGGACAGAGAAATCCCAGCTTAAGCCACTCAACACCAATCTGACCTCCAGCAAATTAAAGTTTCCCAGCCTCATTTTCATGATCTGAGATAACACCAGAACGTACTAAGTAGAGTTTAACAGAGTGATTTTTACATTTCCTGGCCCTCAAAGTAACCTCTGATGGCATCAAACGGGAAGGGGCAGGTATTACTCCATAGAGAGGTTTGTGTGCCTCCGTGGGCATCCAAGGCTGGGTGCTCGCTGGCAAATAAATGGTGCTGGGCTGTCTCCTAAGAAGACTTAGAAAGTTTCTTTGCTAAGAACAAGTTTTATTGGAGGCATTTTTTAAAGCTGCCATTGTTCAATTACATGCTGAATGGCAAAGAGACTTAGATATTGGATTTCAATACATCTCATTCTATTAACCTATTCCTCATTATGTCCCTCAGGCAGAGTTTACCATTCGATTGTTACCGATATCCATCCCCCCCCCCCCCCGTCCCCCCAGTGCTAGCTAAAACTGGGGCAGAGGGTGGGTGGTGATGGATACCTGGGGTGCAGAATCGGGGGAAGCTGCCCAGGCCTGGCAAGTGTTTGGCTGAACAGGTTCCCCGGAGGCAGGGGGGTCAGGGCTGCGCCCCCCTGGCCCGGGTTTGGGCCGCAGAGCCTCACGTCGAAGCCTCTCCCTGCAGCACGATTTCAGCCTGGAGAGGAAGGCGCTCTTCTGGGTGGAGGCTGTCCTCCGGGGACCCTGCCCGGTCCGGTGCGACGCCCCGGGAACGGCGTCAGCCCCTCCCGCCTGGCTCTTGCTGGTCAGTCCGGACCTAGTGCCCGCACCTGCCGCAGACACAGGCCCTGAGGCCGGGCCCCCGCCGCGGCTGGACCAGGAGGACGACGGCCAGGAGGGGGAGGACGAGCACGAGGACGAGCACGAGGACGAGCACGAGGACGAGGAGGACCAGGGCGAGCAGGAGGAGCAGGGCGAGGACCGCGACCAGGAGGAAGCCGCCTCTGCCGAGGAGGAGGAGCCGGAGCCCCGCAGCCCCCCGCCCGGCTCCCCCGCGAGCCCCGGCCCCGGCCCCGCCCGCTACTCGCTGGACGTGCTGCGCGGCGTGAGGTCGGAGCTGGCCGGGGCGCGGCGGCGGCTCTCCGAGGGCAGGCTGGCCGCCCGGCCCCGCGCGCTCCTGCACCGCCTCCGCCAGCGCGCGCTGAGCCTCTGCCCCGGCCCCGCGCCCCCGCCCGCGCCCGCGCCCGCGCCCCCCAGCGCCCCGGCGCCGCCCCCGCGGCCCTCCACGGCCGGCGCCGTGCCCCCGCTGCGGAGCCACAAGCCCACGGTCGCGGTAAGGCCCCCGCAGGCAGTCCCGGTTCCCAGCCCACCGTCCCTCCTCTCGCCCTCCCTCCGGCGGGCTTTACCTGTTCTCCTCCGGCCCTGTACGCGCTGCCCTTCCTGTGGTCCTTGGCCTAGAATATTCCCTCTTTTCCGCTCTGTTTTTGCTTCTATTAGGGCACATGTCACAATAATTGTAATTATCCAGTACCTGGCTGTGTCTTCCCATGCAATAGGAATTCTTTTAGGAAAGGGATTAGAGGGCCTTCATTTTTTGTTTCCAGGGCACCCGGCAGCGGACTGGCCCCTAGGGGGTGCTCAGCGACCGCTCGTTGAATTAATGAACGTGACTCCAATCCAGGTTGTCCCCCACTGAGTAAGGCTTCCTGAAGGATGGGTGACCTGGAGGCTCAATCCGGGGATACTCAGGGAGCAGTTATCTCCTGCTCGGCACTGAATTAGTTGAAATAGACAAGTCAAAACCTCGGGACAAGGAGAGTTGGCCCCGGGGGTGTGCACCAGACAGCATGCATAGTGGGAGGGATCAGGTGTTGAGAGAGAGGAGGTGACAGTTTTTGCAGACCGGGAAAGGTTTCAGGACAGAGATGTGCATGTGGAAGAACCAGGAGCAGAACTGAATTTCAAGTGAAGCCAGTGAAGACCCCTCACTTTGCCACCTCTGAGGCCTTCTATCTAATTTTATATTCACGGTGGTGTGCCTTTTTTTAAGAGGTTCAAATTCTGTAAGTACCAAACTCCATAAAATCTGGATCTGGAGCAGATGGAGTGGGTCAAGATTGATAGCCAAAGGTGACAGTCGGGCACAGCTTTCTACCCCCTAGCTGCCCTACAATCAGGCCAGGAGTTACAACAGAATAAGGCCCAGGTAAAATTTAAATCCAAAAGACAGACTAGAGGTCTGGCTCTTCTTGCTCACTGGGGTGTGACCTTTGGCAAGTCACTGAACTGATCTGAGCTATCCCCTCTCTATCTGTACCTCGGGCCACTTCACCTCACACAGCTGTTCAGCACAAACACAGAGAAGAGGCTCTGTGAACTGGACAGGTCACACCATGTCAAGGACCAGACGTTAATGCCAGGATGGCTCTTCCCTGGTCCAGATTAAACTGAACTCTAGCAACAACCCTGTGCAGGGAATGGGGCCCATGTTATGCAGAGGAGAAAGTTGGGGCAGAGGACAGTTAAGAGTCATTTTTAGGGTCACAAGGGTAGACTCAGATCCTAAGATATTGGGGGTCAAAAGCAGACCTTGGGGTAAGGTCATGGCAGAAAAACCCCTGAGAAGATAAGGAGGGGTGGACAGTTCACGTCACACATATACACTCTGCCCCAGGAGCCAGGACAGCAGCTGGGCTTTCCTCGGGGAGAAGGGGACAGGGCTGGTCTATTCAGGGTTGGCAGGTAGGTACTTCTTTATGAGGATGATGCCAGGCAAACTGATTGAAATGCCTTCGAGTCACCCTCCTTGCTCTAGTGTCTGTGTGGGTCTCCCCAGCACATAGCTGTGCCCAGTCCCTACCCTGCTCTGTGCCCTGCCAAGCCCTAGCCCAGACAAACTGAAGGAGGAAGATCTATCCCTGCTCCCCACTCACTAAGGCATAGGGTAAAAAACGCTGAATTAGATTCTGAGTAGGGCTCAGGTCCCCAATGTGTGTTGCTTCCCCAGTCATTAACTTCTCTGAAGCTCAATTTCCATGTCTGTAAAATGGGATAATAGGATGAACCTATCATATTTCTCTTGTGGAAAAATGTCTTGCCCAGCCAGATGTCACTTCCAGTGGTAACTGACACATCCAGCCTGTCTGTATTTCAGTCCCTCAGCCCGTACACCTGCCTGCCACCTCTTGGTGGGGTGCCTCAGCGTCCTAGTGCCTGCAGATCACACCCTGCTTCTGCTGACCTGCTGTCTGCCCTGAGCCAGGAGGAGCAGGACCTCATTGGGCCAGTGGTTGCCCTAGGGTATCCTCTGCATAGGGCCATTGGGGCTCTGCAGAAGACAGGGCGGCAGAGCCTGAGCCAGGTAGGTGGATGAGGGGCCCTAGACTGGGGGGCTGGGGGGCTGGAGCCAGGCAAGTAGCCAAGTAGTTTTTGTCTTTAACTTGAAACAGTTTTGTTTCCTTCTTTTAGAAGCAGAACCTAAGCCTGGCGTTAATTGCTGAGAGTTATGAGCAAGTTTCTAGATCCTAATGCTATTTTCTCCATAAAGGCTTATCAGGAATCCCCATGCTCACTTGGAGAGTTTTAATATTCTACTCCTGTCCTAGTCTCTGCCTAAAGCACAGGGAGTTGGAACTTTGAGCAGCCAGTAATCTCTCCAGAGACACCAAATAGAACTTTCTGTAATGAAAGAGCTGTTTTATATCTGGGTTGTCCACCAGCCTTATGTGGCTACTTGAAATATGGCTAATATGACCAAGAAACTGAATTTTTTATTTTACTTAATTGAAATTATAATAGCCATTGTGGCTGGCTGCTAGCTACTATGTGGGATGGCACAGCTCTAAGCACTTCCCTCAATGAACAGTTTATCCATATTCATATCCATCTTTTCCTCTTTTGATCTACCCATCCATCCAGTCTAGTCAACAGTACTCACTGGGCACTCCCTAGGTGTTTAGATGCAGCTAGGAGCTATGGGGGAACCTCTTCTTAGTGGAAGGGGCTACAAAGAATTTATGGCCATTCTTAATCGAGCACAAGGAAGGTCCAGTGATCACCAAAGGCTTCGTGGAGGTGCCACATCTTGGGCTGGGCTTCAAGGATGAATAAACTCTGGATTTTAAGGAATGAGAAGGGATGATATTCCAAGCAGGAGGAACAGTGTGAGCAAAGGAGTGGAAATAGCAAGGAAGGGTTTGGGAGGCCCTGATCCAACCTGTCTTGCTGGAGTAGAGGGTACATGATGCAGACTGGTAGGAAGTAAGACAGGGAAGGGATATCAAGAGCAGATTGAGGGTATTTTGAGGGCTGGGCTGAGACGTTTATAAATAACCCACTAACAAAAGGAAGGAATGGAAGGATTATGAGTAGCAGCAGGAGGTCACACTGCTTGCCATTACCTAAACCTCCCTTCCGGCACCTGAAGATTACATCCTGCTTCACATTGTTTTCTGAACATGTGGGCTCTTTTGGTTGGAAAGCTGAGCTGCGGGTATCAAAAGGTCCCAGGGCAGTTGGCACTTATTCCTTTCTTCTGTCTCTGCCCCATCACCATCAGAGGCCTTGGATACTCTCTCTATAATCACTAGTCACTGCCATATGTTGGGTCCCTGAGGTCCAGAGCTGCCTCTTCCTGGATAAGGCAGTGACAAAAGAGGGACTTTCACACTGGAGCTGAGGCAGCATGTGCTGCTGCCAGATTGAGGAGGTGGGCAAATCTACCTGCTTCTGCTCTCCTTTGGCTTCATCAGTCCTGGAGGAGAACTTCCAACATGATGACCCCTGTGTGGCTAACATGGGGCTGCTGACATTTACTGAACACCTTTGTGCCAGTCCCTCAGTCTGAGAGTATTCAATTAGGTCTTCTCCATTCTGCAGGGTTGTCACCACTGTGCCCACTTTGCACGTGAGGAAACTGACGCCAGGGAGGTACATATAACCAATCAATGGAAGAGTCAGGGTTGAGGCCAGACTGGTTTGACTCTCAGTCTTTGTTGCGTGGTACTTTTCCTCATTTTCTGTGTGAGAACCTTCCAGGGAAACAAAATCTCAGGCCGATCTGAGATTTAAGAGTAGGTCTAAAGTTGTCCTTACCTTCAGCTGCTGCTGAAAGCCAGGACCCTGGCCAAGAAGCTGGCCAGGAGGATTGTGAAGGACCACGCCCACTGTGAGGGCTAGGACATGCCCCGCACTCCCTGCACTCCCTTGAGCCCTTGAGCTCCTATGACAAGGCCAAGGCTTCAGGCTATCACGGGGGGGGGGGGGTGGGGGGGGGGGGGGGGGGGGGGGGTGGGTCTGAAGGTTGGAACCAGCTTGGAGCCCTGGCTCTCTGTGGGTGATTGGAAGAATCCCACTGCATCAGGATCATGGTGTTTCCAGATATGCACTGACCACCTGCCTGGCTAGCCATCTCTGGGTGGCCTTCTTCCATGGTGGTCGGTCAGAGCCAAGCTCTGAGGCACGGGCCTGAAGGGCCATTGGATGACTTCATCTGTCTTCCCCCACCAACTTACTATTTCTCTGTATTCTATGAAGTTCCACCATTAACTGAGCAACTCCTTTGGGTTCAGAGATTCCTTCCCCATTAAAGAATATACGCTATAGGGCAGCCTGGGTGGCTCAGTGGTTTAGCGCCACCTTCAGCCCAGGGCATGACCCTGGAGACCCAGGATCTAGTCCCACAGAGCCTGCTTCTCCCTCTGCCTCTGCCTCTCTCTCTCTCTCTCTCTCTCTCTCATGAATGGATAAAATAAAAATAAAATCTTAAAAAAAAAAAGAATATACACTATAGTAAACCTTTCTGGCCATGAATTAATGGCAGATGGTCCAGGAAAGCGAGCATCAGGTGACAGAGACAGAGCATTTAGAAGAGCCAGGGAGAAAGGAGGAGATACAAAATACAAGCTTTGTCCATCATTCCTTCTTTCCTTCCACAAGAATTGATGTGCCCACTGGCTGCCTACAGGACAGCATGGGTGGCATATATGAGCAAACACAGGCCAGGCCCAGACTTGGTATGGGATTCCAGGCACCTCGGGGTCCCTCTTGAACCTCACTTTCCCTCTTAACAGAATGGAGCAAGAATATGTGTTTATAACCAATGATTGCTGAGGGCCCCATTGGGGAGTGAAAGTCATCCTTACCCACCCTGGGGCCTGAGACAGACCTGTTGGCTTCTACAGTCTCAAAGGCCCAAAAGTTGGCTAAGCAGCAGAATCTGTAGATCTGCAGGACCTACTCTGGAGGATCCCAATCAGTGGATCTAGAGTGTGCCCAAGGGCCTATCATGTTAAGGATCTGAAGGTGGTTCTGATATATAGCCTGCCATGGGGTGTACTGGTATGAATTGAGGTCAGCTATCCCTTGAGTCAGTGGTTCTCAGCCTTGACTACACATTAGAATAATCTGGAGAGCTAGAAAAATCCCAGTGCCCAGACTGCCTCCCATACCAATTATATCAGAGCCTCTGGAGGCAAGCATCAGTGGTTTATGGGTAGTTGTGTTAAAGCTCCTCCCAGGTAGCTGCAGTTAGCACCAAGGCCAAGAACCTTTGTTGTGGATGAACCAAGAGGCCAAGGGAGCATCCAGCATCTGCTCTTGACTTGCTCATGTTTTTAACCTTTGGAAATCCTGTCTACTTTCCAGGCAGCCCAGAGCCCCTCCTCTAGCACTGGGCCGCTGATGGACAAAGCTGAGAGGTCAGGTGATCTAGGCCCTAGTCCTGGATCCCTGGGCAAACTACCCACCCTGCTTGGACCTGTTTCTTCAACTGCACAGGGAGGGCTTGGCTCGGTGGTTTACAAAACACCTTACTCAGAGCAAGGTATAGGTGTCCTGAGGTCGGAGCACTGGACTCCTGGCTCCCCTGCTCCTACTCCCAGTTCTCCCAGAGCAGCTCAACTCTCCCATTATGGTTGTAGGCTCTTGATGCTTGGACAGCTCAGAGGCCAAAACAGTTTGAAAAGCATTTATCTGTATGATCCATGCTTTCTGCCCAGCTCTGAAGGTCTGCAGAAACCCTACCTGTTTCTTCTCCACTTATCCCCATAATTTTTATGGCCTGGAGCCTTCATTTGACATTGACTCTTTATAAACCTTGCTTTGATTTGCCTGGTGCTCAGGATTTCCCGTATTTGGTTCATCTCCTTCACTAAGTTTTGAGCTTGAAAGTAGTTCTTAATTCATTTTATAAACACAGCATAACTTTATTGAACTCCTTCTGCCTGCCACGCTGGGTGCTGCCACAGTAGTGAACAACTGATAGAACTCTTCCCTCGTGGAGCAAAAAGTTAAATGAGAATGCTGAGAAAGATAGTAGAACAACTAGAGCTGTATGTGCTGTGATGAGGGAAGCACAGGTCCTGTGGGAGCAGCAGGCAAGGCACTCAGTGGAGACTGAGGGCAGAAGCCCCCCAGGGAAGAGGAGCAAGGCTGGCCTTGGCTAAGCGGAGGGATGCAGAGGCCTGGGGATGCCGAGGGAGGAGCGAGCAGAAGCCCTTCCCCCCCCAGGGGGGGGCAGGACTTTGGGCCCTGGTAGGAGCCCATACTTCATCCTGAAGGCAAAAGCAGCTTCTGGTGACTAAGCAGGGAGTGACTTGAACAGGTCCTCAGCCCTGTGGTCTCTTCCTCTGTCCTGCTCCCCTTGCCAGCACTGGGGCTCCTGTGGTCCTGGATGGCAGAGATGTATGTGTCTGGGACAGGGTGGGTGGCACAGGTATGGATGCTGAAGAGGATGCTTCGCACAGGTGGGTGCTCACTAGGGAGGGGGAACATAGTGCAATGGGTGGTGGGTGAGGCGCCTGTACCTCCGGTCAGTCCCACTCTCCAGTTAGGTTCTGGGAATACCTTAGCTTACCCTGACAGCACTTTTCCTGGATTACAGCCCCCCATTGGGGACTGTTGGTAAGAACCTGCTGCCCACCCATCCCCAGGTCTACGGAGGGGGCCTCTGTCCCTCCTCTGTTGGCTCACAGGGTCCTGAGGCCATTTTGTGTGTGGTAGGTTGACTTACCAGCCCGGTCTGAGCTCAGGCCTCCCTGAGGTTCCCAGGGTGCCTCCTCTACCCCCTCTGTTGCCCCTGCCACTGCTCTTACCACCCCCTTGTACCTTCTTCTGGCCCAGTTTCTCAGCTACCTTAGTGCCTGCGACCGGCTGCTGCGGCAAGGCTACGAGGAGGGGCTGGTGGAGGAGGCCATGGAAATGTTCCAGTTCTCTGAGAGCCAGGTCAGCAGGGCCACCTGCCTGGAACTAGGGGAAGGGGCGGCAGGAATGGGGTTGCACACACAAGCCTAGTGTGCAGGGGCACACCAGTGCCAGAGCTGGAGCCTGGGGCTCATCAGGAGATAGCCTGCTTGCTCAGCCCTGGGGAGGAGACAGCCCAGGGAGGTGAAGCATGGGGGAGAGGAGGGAAACGGGAGGCAGAGCTTTCTTGTTATTTAGCTGAATCAACACAACAAGTATTATCAAATGCCCACTCTGTCAGACACACAGAGGGGAGCTGTGCACAGCACAAAGACATAAACTCAGCTCGGGGAGTTTACTGCCTGGAAACCCAGAATGCAGGCAAATGTGGGCCCAGTGGAACGTTCTGAGTGCCCAGTGTGCATGGCCTGGCCCCAATGGGCTGCTGGCCCAGGCTCTGCCGAGCACCTCTCCACAGAGGCTGAGGCAAGAACAGAGGGCTGGGAGAGGTGCCAAGGAGGAGGAAGGGAGGAGAAGCAGGGACTCTTCAAGCACTGGGGCAAGAGGAGGAAGGAAGGCAGAGGCTGTGCTGTGTGAAACTTTGGCAGGGTTTGGGGCTTGGGCAGAGACCCCAGGCTGTACATCCTCTGGGCACCAGGATGCAGCCTCCTTCTTTCTGCCCCAGTGCCCAAGCACAGGCAGTCAGCCAGCAATGAGCTGGAGTGAGGGAGTAAAGCCAGGATGGAGCCAGTGGCCAGGCCTCTCTGCTTGGCACAGGAAGGGATGTGTAGGCCCATGTCACCCTGAGGTGTAGGAAAAATGCAGGTGCTGCCCAGGATTAGGATCAGGCTTACCTGGCCTGGGGAGTCCCTAGCTTCCTGGGAATAGATACAGTGGGTACCAGGGAAGTGGCTCCCCAGGGAGGTGGCTATCCTGGCAGAGTCCCCAGCATTCTCTGCTTCCCCTTCCTCAGGCAGGGGAGTTCCTGCGCCTCTGGGAACAGTTCAGCGACATGGGCTTCCAACAGGACCGGATCAAGGAAGTGCTGCTGGTCCACGGCAATCGCAGTGAGCAAGCCCTGGAGGAGCTGGTAGCCTGTGCCCAGTGATGGCTGGTGCATTCCACAATGCCTGTGCATCCCCGTCCCGCACCAGACCTGGAAATCCATTCTAACTGTATTATTAAGACTACGTAAGAGGGGTGCCCAGCTGGCTCAGTTGGAGGAGGAGCATGTGGCTCTTGAACTCAGGGTTGTGAATTTGAGCCCCACGTTGGGTGTAGAGATTACTTTAAAAAATAATAAACTTAAAAAGATTATATAAGAGTAACAGTGATGCATGCTCTTTGTAAAAATGTAAATAATCCCAAAGGTAGAGGTAAATACTGTAGGGGAAGCAAAACTTTACCCATTTTTGGTTTTCAGTTGGGGCACCTCAAGGAAAAGACAGATTAAGAAGAGAAAAACAGATTAATGCATGTAGCACACATCGTGTGGGAGAAACCTCAATGAAAAGCAACTCAAAGCAGCAGTTAGAACTCTGGCTTATATAACATCTTCAACAAAGAGCAGTGAATTTGTAGAGAAATGACAGAATAAAGGAAACCAGTTTCGGGCTTCCAGGGATGGCATGCTGTTGGGTGAGCAGGGTGGTGTAAATATGAGGAAGCAGCAAAATGAGTAGGTTTGTTTGCAGATTCCTCTGGAGCTTGTCTGGGCTGATAAGAATCTGTCTCCAGAAAAGGAGAATTTATACCTGTAGGCAAAAAGTGGGGCTAGGGTCGAGGGAGCTTTTTTTTCTGCATTTGTTCCTTCTTAATTACCTTCTACTTAAAATAATTTTTATGTCAAAGAGACATATTTTGGGGTGACATTCTGGTCTTTTTCAGTACTAAAACAATTGGCTGAAAGAGTTGAAAGTGGTTGCCTCCAGGGAAGAGCAGATGGAGAGCATGGACAAGGAACTGTGTTTTTTCCTACAAGCTTTGTAAAACTACCTGTCTTTAAACTATACACAGTAGTAACTGTGATTTTAAGAATATTAAAACAAATAAATGGTGGGCAGTTCTTTTCAGTCCTGTGGGCTCCTGGACTTAGTGTGGAAAGAACATCTAACTGTGGTTCAGAAAGCCTAATTTCTTATTTTATTTCTGTCGCTGACTGGCTCAAGGCCTCTTTGGGGCTCGTTTTCCCCAGGAAAAGTGGAGAGACTGAACCTGGCTGCTATCCATAGGAATCCTTGAAGACTTTGTTTTTTGTTTTTTAATTTTTTTTATTTATTTATGATAGTCACACAGAGAGAGAGAGAGGGAGAGACACAGGCAGAGGGAGAAGCAGGCTCCATGCACCGGGAGCCCGATGTGGGATTTGATCCCGGGTCTCCAGGATCGCGCCCTGGGCCAAAGGCAGGCGCCAAACCGCTGCGCCACCCAGGGATCCCCTGAAGACTTTGTTAAAGAGTCCCAGGACCTACTCCTGGGTGATCTGATTTAGAAAGTCCAGCTTGGCAGCCTCAGAAAGCTTTTTTTGGTTTTGGTTTTGTGTTTGGTGGGCAGCAAAGCAAGGTTTATTGAGCGATAGCAAAGTGATAGTACAAAGCTCCCAAGGAGGGAGGGAACCAGAGAGGGTTTCCCCTGTTTTGTTTTTATAAGAAGCTCTCTGGGGGGAATTTTTAAAAAGATCTATCTATCTATCTATCTATCTATCTATCTATCTATCTATCTGCAGGGGGCAGGGGGAGTTGGGGGTGGAGAGAACACAGAAGTAGAGGGAGAGAGAAGCAAACTGCCCGCCTAGCAGGGAACCCAGGCTCAATCCTGGGACTCTGAGATCGTTGACCCGAGCGGAAGGCAGACACTCAACCGACTAAGCCACCCCTCTCAGGGGACTTTTATTTTTATTTTTATTTTCTGGGGATTTTTAAAAATCTGTTGTTTTTTAAAACTTTCTTTTGTTGTTGTTGACCTCCTTCACCCACTTCTCCCAGCCACCAACTGTTCTTTGTATCTATCGGCTTGGGTTTTTGGTTTTTTTTGTTTTTGTTTTTCAGATTCCACATATAAGAGAAGTCATATGGTATTTGTCTTTCCCTGTCTTTTTTTTTTTTAAGATTTTATTTATTTATTCATGAGAGACACACAGAGAGAGGCAGAGACATAGGCAGAGGGAGAAGCAGGCTCCATGCACATCCCCAATGTGGGACTCAATCCCAGGACCCCAGGATCATGACCTGAGTCAAAGGCAGATGCTCAACCATGGAGCCACCCAGGCGTCCCTCTCTGTCTGACTTCTCTCACTTAGCATAATACCCTTGAGGTCCATCTATGTTGTCTCAAATGTCAAGATTTCCTGCCTTTTATGGCTGGATACTAGTCCATTGTGTATATATATACCCCAGTTTCTTTATTCATTTATCCATTTATGGACAGTTAGGTTGTTTCCATGTCTTGGCTTGTAGATATTGCTGCAATGAACATGGGGGTGCATCTATCATTTTGAGTTAGTGTTTTTGTTTTCTTTGAATAAACACCCAGAAGTGGAATTGCTAGAGCATATGGTAGGTCAATTTTTAATTTTTTGAAGAACCTCCCCTCTGTTTTCCATAGTGGCTGCACCAATTTACCCTATCACTAACAGTGCACAAGGGTTCCCTTTCTCCACATCCTTGATTCATGAACACTTGTTATCTCTTGTCTTTTTGATGATAGCCATTCTGACAGGTGTGAGGTGATAGCTCCTTGGGGTTTTGATTTGCATTTCCCTCATAATTAATGCTGTTGAGCATATTTTCATGTACCTGTCGACCATCTGCATGTCTTCTTTGAAAAAATGTCTATTCAAGGGCAGCTGGGTGGCTCATTCAGTTAAGCCTTTGCCTTTGGCTCAGGTTATGATCTTGGGATCCTGGGATTGAGCCCCATGAAGTACTCCCAGCTCAGTGGGGGAGTCTGCTTCCCCCTCTACCTCTCTCCCCTGTTTGTGCACACTGTCTCTCAAATAAATAAATCTTTGTTTTTTAAGACTTTATATGACAGAGAGAGAGAGAGAGAGAGAGAATGCACACAAGTGGGTGGGAGGTGGGGCAGAGGGAGAAAGAGAAGCCAACTCTGCAGAGCAGGGAGCCCAACATGGCAATCCTAGGACCCCAAGATCGTGATCTGAGCCAAAGGCAGAGGCTTAACTGACTAAGCCACCCAGGCACCCAATAAATAAAATCTTAAAAAAAAAAGAAAGGAAGGAAGGAAGGAAGGAAGGAAGGAAGGAAGGAAGGAAGGAAGGAAGGAAGGAAGGAAGGAAGGAAGGAAGGAAGGAAGGAAGGAAGAAAGGAAAGAAAGAAAGAAAGAAAGAAAGAAAGAAAGAAAGAAAGAAAAGAAAGAAAAGAAAGAAAGAAAGAAAGAAAGAAAGAAAGAAAGAAAAGAAAAAAGAATCTTTTCAGATCTGCCCATTTAAAATTTTTATTTTTTGCTGTTGCAGTTCTTTATGTATTTTGGATATTAGCCCCTTACCATATATATGATTCACAAACATTTCTCCCATTCAGTAGTTGCCTTTTCATTTTGTTGATAGTTTCTTTTGCAGAAGCTTTTTATTTTCCACTTTTTTTTTAATTGTTTGTTTGTTTTGCTTTTGTTACTTTTTACTTTTGGTGTCAGATTAAAAAAATCATCATCACGACCTATGTCAAGGAGCCTATCACTTATGTTGTCTTCTAGGAGGTTTATGTTTCCAGGCCTTACATTCTAGGCTTTGATCCGTTTTCAGCTCATGTTTGTGTATGCTGTAAGATGGTAGTCGAGTTTCATTCTTTTGTATGTGGCTGTCCCATTTTCCTGACACCATTTCTTGAAGAAACTCCTTTTTCCACTGTCTTGCCTCCCTTGTTGTTATTTAATTGACCATATATGCATGGGTCTACTTCTGGGCTCTCTGTTCTTCTGCCAGTACCTCTGGGGATTCTTATTCAATATAATGGGCCCACAGCCAGTATGTGTGAACCAGCAGATCTAGGCCTCCTGCTCTGACAACATGTCAGTCTTTCCTCATTTGTGGAGGGGGCAGTTTGGACCAGAATCATCTCCAGTCACCCAGGCCAGAGACTGAGGGGACCAGCTGCTGGGGCTGCCCATGACTCGGGCAAGCAGAGGCCGGAAGCCAAGCACCAGTGCCCCTGCCTTTCTCAGTCGGTCCTGTGCAAAGACCTGCAGCAATTACCACATTATCAAGACCTCTCAACCCTCTCCACCCAGGGAGCAGGACTGGATCTGGAGCTGAATCCTGTAAAAACCAAAATCTTCCATGTTTCTCATGGCTTCAAACCAGACACTTCATTTGGATGTGTAATGAGGACTTCTGCAGGCCTATCCAGGCCTAAAGAACAAGTTTGGGACCAGAACCTAGCACTCCTCAGGCCTGTCCAGCCCCTGGGTGCTTTCCACTAAGCCTCCGTGCCTGCCAACTTGAAATCACATTAAAGATATTCTTTGGCCTTAAAACTTGCTTTGAATAACTTGCAGGCAATGCAAAACTATTTGAGAACATTGGCAAGACAGCATAAAGTTGGTCAAAAGTAAAATTGCACTTGAAAAAGAATAAAATTCAAGTTAAATTTCTAAAAAGCAGTGTTAAGTCCAAAGCTCTTTGTGTTTTGATTAAGGTAATCTGCCTTCTGTCTGCCACTTTATTAAGTCCCCTGGGTCAGAAGTGACCAGTGGCAGGCTCCTCACTCTCCCTGCATCCTTCCCCATGCCACTCCTCCCATTCTTCTCCCACCTGTGCCCAACTCCCCATTCCTGGGAAACTATTGCTTGATTTAAAATGGGACAACAATGGGCACGTTGGAAATTTAAGATATTTTTAGGAGGCAGAACAGTGTGGTAGCTGAAGGCATGTGCTGTGAAGTTAGATCCGAGCTGAAACTCTAGATTTATCATTAACTGGCTGTGTGACCGTGTTTTGTGTGTGTGTGTGTGTGTGTGACTTTTTGAGAGTCACATATCTTCTCTGTGCTTCAGTTCCTTATCTATAACATGTGGATAATGAATGACTTAACGAGATTGCACACAGGAAGCTTGTGGTGTAGTATCTAGCAGCTATTTACTTATTTATATAGATTTATACCCTGCCTTGGTTCTTTTTTTTTTTTTTTTTTCCTGCCTTGGTTCTATAATCACTGCTACCTTTTCTCTGATCATCCTCTCATCCTTGTTTTTTTTTTTTAAAGATTTTATTTATTCATGAGAGACACACAGAGAAAGAAGCAGGCTCCCCACAAGGAGCCTGATGTGGGACTTGATCCCCGATCCCAGGATGACACCCTGAGCCAAAGGCAGACGCTCAACCACTGAGCCACACAGGCATCCCCTCCTCATCATTGTTAAAGTTAACAAATCTCTAGCATTTATAATCGAATTCAGGAAACCGGGGAGATTTTTCCCCCTTCCTCCCTTCCCCCCCACTCTCCTGCCAGTGCGACTCAGCCGCTCAGGTCAGCGGGGTTTAAGGAAGCCACAACAGAGGATTCTGGGAGTATCCTAAGAGAAGGACAATCTTTACAGCTAATACCAAGGGTCAGATGACTGTATTGGTGGCCCCCTGAAACCGCAGCAGATGACACACTTAGCTCCCGAAAGGCAGGGTCTCAACAAGATGATGACTCTTGGAGAGGAGGCCAAGAGGTTGGCAGAGCCAGGGCACCAGGTGGCAAACCAAGACCTGGCCCAAGGATGCAGAATGGAGCAAGTTCTGCCTTGGTTCTTGCTGTCACTTCTTTCCTCTATACTCTGTCTCCTCTTCTGTGTCCCCACCACATTTCTCCAGAGGCTCAGTGACAACAGATTGAAGGGCGGCCTCCTGCCTCTGATGGGAGTATGTGGGGGGTGGGGGTGGGGGGTTCTGTCTCATAAAGTCTTTCAGGCTGGAATCTCAAGTGTGTTGCTCCCATTACAGGGGGAAGTGCACGCTGTCCTCTAGCTAGCTGACCCTCTGCCTCCTTCTTATAAGGACCTTTTGTGATTAGATCCGACCCACCTGGATAATCCAGGATAA